TTGGTAAAAAAGTCCATTGTCCGTTCATCCACCTCAGAGAAGTAACAGTGGACCAGAAACTGTTTTCCGCTCTTTCGAGGGGCGATACCAGATTTATTATTAATACCAAACAGAAGCTGTTTGGGTATTTAGTCGGATTTTTCAGGGCTTCAACTGATCCTAGACAGCAAAACAGACAAGTGCCCAAAAACTTGACGTGTGCTGGCTGAGTTAGTTTGCTTCTGGAGTTGCTTATAGGATTTAAAAGGAATGGAAATTAGATGGGAAGAGGGATTCTAAATCACCGGGTCCGTGGAGACGTTTGTTCCTGAGGGACACTGCACACAGTACGCGACCGGTCCTGCGCCTCTTCCTGCAAAAAAGTTATGGTAGAATCTTGTATCTGCATTCGTCAGTTCCAAACTATGGGGAATGTGTGCCTCCAAATTGTGCTAGTCTATTTAATCCCGTCAGGTTTATTTGCTTCCTTAAAACTATCAGGTAATGGAATGAATGTCGCTATGTAGAAACGGCTGTTGCCGTCCGAATTGTTAAAGCAATCCTTCTTCCAGGGACTAATTTAGTGGACTGATTTGCATACATGCACTCATAGCTGACAGTAATCAATATGCAGCGACGTCACTAACTGCCCCTCACTTATCAGGCTCCAACATGAAGACGAAACACCTCACCCCTCACCTTCAAAAAATGTCACCATTGAGACATATAGCGTAGTTTGTTTCATAATTGACTGAAGAAATTACTTTTGGTAATTGATCAGGTGGCTGCTGATCTGTGCGCTTCACAGCGCACTGAAGACGTCTCCTCGAATGGTGACGGAACGTCTGCAAGTCCATTGTCAAGCTCGGCGAATAGATCAACAACCACCTGATCAAGTGACAATGAACGCACCCGAACTGTCAATATTCCGCCACATTAATAAAGAAATCGCATTGCACTTGTCGACAAAGAAAGTTGATTGAGTTGATCGCAGTTCCGGCGTATAGAAGTTGTAATTCAATTTTAGCCTATGGTTTCACCTGTTTTGAGGCCTAATAAGCCTCTTGTGCGGAATTCGAATTTAATAAGTCTACGTTTGGTTTTATGATACGTTGCCTTAACTGGCCTTACATTGTTATCCTAGGTGACATTCTTTGATACAGGTGTATCCAAGGTGATGGCGTTGCACGTACATTTAGGAAGCTTACCAGTATATATGCATTATGGTTCGGAAAGTCCCTCAAGGGCATGAATTTTTTGTTTCGTTGTCATTCAGAAAGGTTTTCTCACATGGCGATTAGTTAGCAGTAGTATTGTTCGATTAGAAGATCAGCGTATGCAGTGACTAAGTGTACCATTCCATTGATTGGGTTAACTTCTGCCTCGACAAATTTTCTCGCGTTGACCTTTCTTTGGAGCCTCAATTACGAAATAAGCTGAAAGACTTGGTGTGAAAGGTTGCTTTGAAGCGAGCTTCGTTCATTCTGTACCGTTTTTCCCCAAAGAAATGCCCCATTGCAATTTGGTTTGACGCCCGATAGCAGACACTTGTAAACAGCATGTTGATGGTATGAGGAAATCTGGAAATTTCAAACGTCCTTTTAAAACATTTAAGTGTTTGGTCACTACCAGCTGATTGACAGTGTGATTAGCTCGCACCTAGATGGTGTATATGGTGAGCCACCCCTTTATCACGGAATCCACATCACGTGAGCACACGCTGACTGACTCCTAGAATGACATTTTTTCAGATGGAAGGTTCACTCTTCGTGTGAACCTTTTTTGAACTTGAGAATATATGAAAGTATCGATCGATATTTCATCCTGTAAGTGAAGTCGATTCATGCTCGGAAATTCTTCAGATATGCCGATTGTGCTCAACAAAGTTAGAACAGCTGCACAGTTCTTTCCCACTTTTCAGCATAAACCGACCTAATTTAAAGGGCGAAATCGAAGTGCCAGAAATCGACCTCCTAAAACATGAGAACTAAGGTAAACGCAGTTCTACTCCTACAAAACTTTTACTCGTCAACAAACAAAAATGGCCATTTGAACAGTAGATACTTCTGTACAATGAGTCCTTCCTTCTCCCGAGAAAGCAATTTCTCCTGAGTTATTTCGTACATTTTCTCACCAACCTACATAGCTTGCACAACAAATAGTCAGGTATGGTACGGTTCCAAACATTTTCCAATTGACTGAAAATAGTCAGGTACTTCACTTGTACATGACCAGGTTACACTGAGTTGTTTAGCTCCAGTTTTTGTGATACGTTGGCATTTAAACTATTATGGATAATTTTTAACATTTATTAGCCTATTTTATTTGTCCCGAAAATTAAGCCTTTTGGGTATTTGGATTACCTTTAACAAGAGGATCCTGCAGACAAGATTCTACCTTCCCATCCTGCTGTGTTGATGAGTACTACCACTCCCAAAGCCTAAATTCACTTGACACTAGTTCTATTTCGGAATATCAGCCAATCTGTCCGCCTGATGAGGTTTTATGGAGCACACAAGTTGGCTTACTTTGATTTGGTTAACCCGAATCACAATTGGGACCGACAATAAAAATTTAACGAACTGTACAGTGCGGCTTCTCAGCGGCCAAGACGGGGTTAGTCATTGAACAACGTCACTAATGCTGGTCTGTAATGGTTGTTTGGTTGTAAAGCCGCCAAATGCGTTTGAATGCCGACGATTGTGGTTGGCACGCTCGGTTCACATGCATGTGGTGGTAACTTCTGTGTTAAACTTTATTACATATGCTGTCATTCGATGATTAATAAAACCTTCTCAAATTCGCGGCCTAACTTAAGTTGTGTGGACTCGAAGCTACTATCCGATATTAGGGTTTCCAAACACGATTCAACTGAGTTTGTAATTTCCTGAAGTATATTTTGCTCCAGATCGTGCAACAGGATCTAAAACATCTAGGAAGAGTCTGTTAGCATTGCATTGCCTCCGATGGACATACATTTGACGATTCACACAGAATATTCGTATTGTCTTGTTTGTGGAACTAGTCGGAACTAAGTTTCTTTTGACACTCGCACTATGCGGCTGTCCTATCGCTTATGTGCATAAAAATATGGCGTAACTTCACCCTACATTTGCTGCTCACGAACGAACCCACCGCCGGCACGATTAATGTAGGTTCATCGTACGCCACAGGGTACCATTCACAAACAACCATTTTACATAAGATGTCTGCTAGAAGCATTCACAATATCGCCTGACGAATAATTACGAAGAACTAATCCAGAAAAATGTTCAGTGTTTGCAGGTATCAGATTCTCGAGTGGTAATCCTAACATTTTATATGTTAACAAACACGACAAAGGTACCCAATCATTTAGTCTATTTAGTACGTGGCGATCCACAATTTAAGTCGCATCGAAAGTAAACTTCCATGTTCGCCTTTACTGGTACACTCTAAACTAATTTGGCATACATTTTCATCTCTAATACATAAATGTCTCACCTGTATCTCCCCCTGCCGTCGCGGGACAAAGAGTCCAGCAGCCAGAACGAATCATCATTTCGTTAGCTGAATAAAAGCTTGGTCGCTGATGCATAATTTTGAGCGTGAAGGACTTGAAAGTAGGTCCAACTGTTTCGCTTAGATGAGTAATACCGCTGCCCAAAAGACATGCCCAAGGCCGTAAAATTTATCGCGGAGAACGAAATTGCTCCCACATATTCCTTATTCAACATCATTCTGTCCAGACAAACGTATCGGACAATGTTGGCTGGAGTGATACTGAATGATTTTAATTAATGTCACAATTTTTAAGAGAAGAGGTAGATGATTTGGAAAGCCTAGTAGAATTTTTGTGATCATCAACATAACGAAATAACCCGTTTTAAACTTGGTGGAAACTCAAAAATGTGCCAATAACAAGATATCGTGTTTTTCATGGATTTTTGCATTCTCTAGCCCCCGAAAAACAGCACCTTCTGGAATATCAAAGGCCCAATCTTGATAAGTGTTGGCCAGCCGAGCACTCTTACATAGCATAAAGAGGTAAAACTACTTAACAAATGGATGTAATTGGAGAGACAATGTTAGGTCATCTAAGGTGTGATTCTGATCAAGTTGAAGGGCAACTTGCCTCCGAGTGGGGGTTGAATAATCATTTAACATCTGCGTAAATCGACCACTGACTGGTAGAGCTTTAGTGTGCTGTAGCCCTTCGTGTGTCTTTTTGTCCCTGCCTTCGGTTGATCTTAGCAGTAGGGGTCTGTGACTGATAAAGTGGGGAAAATGTAACTAAGTTATAGTTTTCAGAATGAGGAATTTTATTCTATGAACTTTATGACAGTGATTTAATTTGACCGGCGTAAATTAGTTGTTCCAATGGATGATCGCCCAAAAGAGGTTCTAAAGAGGTCGTAATGAATAGTGCTTAAAGTTTTCTACTTAAAGTTACAACAGATTAAAATCCATCGTGGGCGTTCGACTTCTCGATACAATGGGCTACGCCAGATTAAAAATTCCGGGGAATGAAGGCGAACCTTATCAGTACAAATTAAAAATGCACTCGTGCATCAGTTTCAAATCCAGCAGTATGGGTGTAGATCAAAGGAAAATTTGGTTATGATATCGCTTCAAACTATAGCCGGAAATATTACCTTGGCGTCTGTTAGAAACATCCGCTAACTTAGCCTTCTGTAGTCTACAGGACCACCAGTTATGACTGCTCTATGTGGCTGCTGTCATAGCGCATACATAAATAACAATAATCAAATAATTACTTATCAACGTCGACCAGTGCAACAGAGTTAAAACTGCATCATACCGGTTCAAGCACTGTTGTTGTTGATTCGGGTCCACGGGAGGAATACAGAGATGCACAGAGCTAGAGTCCTTCAGGGGATTAAACAGTTTCGCAACTTTCAGCTTGAAAAGACCCAGCTTTGCGGCTTAACAGGACAGCTCCAGCTTCATTATGGCATGCAGGACATTGTTTCAGTTTGTCTCCATTATTGTTAGTAATATATTCTCCCCTCTATTTTCAGGCACACAAAAGGCTGAATTCACGGACAACGATAATTCCCGTGAGTTACGTTCGGCATGTCTACTGCATTTGACCAACTTTCAACAGACAAGAGCCTTTCCACAACAATTAGGCCACCAGCACTATTGAAACAATGTATCCCAGTTAAGTAAACCAAGATCACCCCGGAATTTGGTGAACGATAACTTAATCAAGTGTTTTGAAATACTTGGTAGCTGCGTTGAAACAGAGAGAAACACCGATTACAGGATGCAAACATTTGGTGATACTCGTCGGTCTCATACAGTTACGCCAGGAAAAAATGAGGTTGTCTGGGTAGTATAGCTGAAAGAAGCCATGATTGAAACGATACGGAAAATTGAAAAATCGGTGTGTCCAAGGTGAATCGATCAATGGAGTCAGCGCATCTTAGACGCTACTATTTAGTGAGACCATGTTGGCTTTCGCAACACCGGAATCACCTCACCACCAGCTACAAATGAGTCGGAACTGTGCTAATAATCTGTGAATCAACAAACTGACACTAGGGCCTAGGACTTGAAGGTAGCTGAAGCCAAAATGGTCAGTTTGTCGAATACGACTGAACCATGTATTATGATACCCAGGTATGTGTTAATATTTTAGGCCATTTGACGAACATGTACGTTTATCCACCGTTCTTACCCCTAAGGATTTACGCTGAGGTCATAAACTCACAAGCATCAAGTTGTTTGTGGTCTTAAAAGTACGTGCAAATGCCTTTGCACGTGTTACAGTGTTGATAAACAAGGCAACTACAAGGTTTTCAGTGGGTGCCGTTTATTACGAACACAACTCATTGTCTGCTGGTAGTATGACCCATGAGTCATATGGACAAGCGGCATCACTCGGGGTCAAAATGCCGGACCGAGTACAGCGACCATCTTACCCGCTGTTGTTAAAAAATCGAAATAATGGAAAAAGAGACACGTGATTGCAACGATTTACCTGAACTTGGAGTTGAAAGCAAAACCGTGGCCATAGGATGGAATAGATAAATGCCAAACGGGCAGTCAGCTTCTTTAAGCACTGAACCACCACAAAGCTTCGAATGCAAAGTACTTTTAACGTGATACAAGTCAGTTACTAACAAGGTACGATAACAGCCTTTTCCCGCTGCATAACACCCACATTTTCGAAGACTTGTTGTTACTGACTGTTCTCCTAGTAGGACTCTGAAATTCTTAAGGGAAAAGAGAGAAACCTCAAAATGCACACATGGTACGACGTAAATAGGTGGTTAATTCTTGGTGTGGATCACAACCAAAAACTGGAAAAGAAAATGAGCACGAATGGCATAATGAATGACGTCAATTTTTTTACCTCATTTGCAGGCATGGTTGGGTTTTATGTTATTAAGTTAATCCGGAGGAAAATCAATCCATTCGATTTATCAGCCACAAACCGTGTGCCGTAAGCACATTGGTTCCAGCTGCCACAGTTCCGATCACCGGAAAACAGGAAAGTGGAACATACAACCAAGCTTTGGAGGCGAAGGCATGTTCAGTTTGTTCGTAAACTGGGTAGCTACGCGTTGAAGGAGATAGCTTTGATGCACGAGCACCAGTGTTTTGAGTACTGGAACGAAAAGCTTGCAGACTGTTAAGATTGTGACCAGCGGTTTATTTAGAAGCACTCATGAAGAACATAGTTTGAACAATGCCCAGAAAGACACGGGGGTCTTTCACTGTTTTATCACTCTAGGGGCTAAGCCACACCCTGTCAAGAGACAGGAACGCTGTGGCTAAGGGCAGGTTTTTCGTTTGTTCAAGTTAGCGTTCCTGTTTTCCCACCACACGCATAAAACATCAGTCTGCTAGTTGTGGGTTTGAACATTCCGAATGACTCGTGAGTTGAGAGCTGATGATAACCCCCAAAGGGAGTGGAACAGCTGTAAAATGCCTTTTTTTTAAAAAAAATAATTTAATTGTACTCGTAAGACTGGCAAGTGAGTGAGTTCGGCCATTCATACTGATGATCATGTCTCCATATTGCTCCCAAGAAGATCTGAAGGGAGATGATATCTGAAATTTGGTCAGTAGACTGTTTTTGTAGTCCCGGATATGCTCCATGTATTTTACCTTTGATATGCACAATTCATATTAATCCTTAAGGTCGACAAGAAAAAGCGGCGTAGCCAAGACAACCAGCCTCGATATTCCAGTCTCCAGTTGAGTACGTGCGATAAGTAAGAGGATGTAGATGGACATGCCAATCATTTATGCCAATTATGCAAACGATCCTATGAGTTGTGGCCTTAAATAAACCTGGGGCGACGCACCAAAAGCATATTTTCATTAGTTGGCACAAGTATGCGACACGCAGTACTGCATTGGGAGGTTCAGGTCTCAGTTCTCACGAAAACCATTAGACAGTGCGACAGCCGAAGTTCGACGAACCAGGCCAAAGTCCAGTGACATGACCGTGATAATCCTCACACCTAAATTAGTGCGATAAAGATAGGCAGCCTTGAAAGTAAAACAAAAATGGTGAGATAAACCCCGGACCTATCACCCTGTTGAAAGAGTGACCTACCTGCTAAGTTACTTCAATCAATGACCGAACTTCACATAACACCTTGATTCCACAATTATCCGGAGCAACCGTAACTTGTATCCATTTGCGAGTCTCCGGTGTGAATTTCACATGTTAAATGTCTACGCCGTCATCTAACTTTGACAATCAAATCCCTATCGCCTCCAAATTACTTAGAACTGGCGTTCTGAATAATTGCTTACGGATTCCTGAGTAAGACAGGTGATAGAAACTTTTTGGTATGTGATTAACCTAACAAAGTCCAAATCCTGCTTCATATGGAAACTTTGGACGAAAACTCCATGAAATACCATGGGTAACTGGCTGGCTATTGGGCTACTTATGCGCAGAGAAGCATAAAATGGGGACGCTTAAGTGTTAGCAGCTTTTGCCTATAGTAGTCAGTCATCTAAAGCCGTGGGAAAGGGATTTTTCATATTGGATTTAATGGAACTAATGTCCTTTATTCTTATCATTTTAGTACCCATTACTCAAAGCGATGCACCGCCGCCGAGGAAGGCGAGAGAACGCCGAGGGGGTGTAGCAGCCGAGAGCTGGGATCCAGAAAATGTGGAAAATACAGAGAAAGTGGTCTACCCAAAGACCGAAGAACAGAAGAGCTCCCTTCTAGAAGCGGTCAGGCAGATCCTTTTGTTTCGATGCCTGGATGAAGACGATCGTTTAGATGTTGTTGATGCAATGTTCCAGAGGACTGTTGAACCCGAAGAAGACGTGATCACCTATGGGGAAATGGGTGATAACTTTTACATAATCGAGTCTGGAACTTACGACATCTACGTTAACATTAACAATGAAATGAAAAAGGTAACGCAATATGTAGACAAAGGATCTTTCGGAGAGTTGGCACTAATGTACAACACACCACGAGCAGCCACGATAAGAGCTGTTACACCTGGTGTATTGTGGGCGATGTCAAGAGAAACATTTCGGTCAATCGTCCTTACCAAGGCATTTAAAAAGCGAAAGCTATACGAAAGTCTTTTAGAGAGTGTTGATCTACTGAAACCATTAAGTCAATATGAGCGCAATAATTTGGCGGATGCCCTATACACCAGAATTGTAGAAGAAGGAGAATCGATTTTCCTCCAAGGAGACGTTGGTCAAGAAATGTTTTTCATTGAGTCCGGTTCGGTGGTAGTACGGATGACAACGCCTGAAAAGCCCGACGAGTACACTGAGCTCTGCACACTTGGACAGTATCAATATTTCGGTGAGCTGGCGCTTCTAACAAAAAATCCTCGAGCGGCATCTGTTTATGCCCTAGAACGCACCCGGCTGGCCGTATTGGAGGTAGACAGTTTCGAACGCATTCTGGGACCTTGTCAAGACCTTCTTAAGCAAAAGGCTCAGGAATATGCCGAAACGCTGGACAAACTCACGGCAGAAAACAGACTATGAATTGTCCAATCAGCTGCAGCAAGGCAACGAAAAGAGAGCCAATGACGTGAACTTATAAAAACAATAAATTTTGTTTTCTTATTTTCATTCGATCATACGTTTTTAGGCATTGATGGGGATTACGGGGAACAATCTTCTGTGGTTTTCATTATTACACAAGATCCATAAATACTATTGGTGAATGCCACTCAAATTAGCTGCCTCCCTCTTGTAACGTAAACATGTGAAGTTTTACAGCTACCTGGAATAGTCGCGAAGCAAGACTAAGCCATAGCCTGGTCTCCGTGGAAACGGCATCCGATTTTGCATCGGCCATGATGCAATCACTCAGGACATTCAAAACGCAATATCTCTTCATTCCTCCCCCTGAATGCTACAAGTAAGCGATGCTTGAAAGAGCAAAAACCCTATCGATGACCTTGCGCCTGACAGCATGTTTCTTTCGGCCGCCCAAAACAAAAAAAATCGACATGATTATCCATCAGCAGGAATGACTGAGCTTACGAGTATTACTTTCGTGGAGAAATATATCCGATTCACTTACTGGTTTGTCCACAAGTCTCGCTCGTTGATGGTCAGTCAATCATAAATACGGCTGCTTCATCTGTCCCCTAGATGAATGTTGGAATTTTGGCTAACCAGCGTGATGATGCAATAGGAGCGAAGTCGCGTTGGTCATGAGTCTCCTTAAGGCTTCAAAGTGGCATCCCGTCGTAATAATCGGGGATCTAGTGAAGTTGGCTCATATAGTTAGTAAAACTGTTGCAATTTTCCCCTACAACCCCGAAGATAGAAAGTATAATCATATTTGGGCACCCTGCGCAGAAGAACCTGACCAAACAGCAGCACAAACTGGGGTAAAAGAAAGGGATTTCATTACATCGGATACATAGTTAAAAACTCGGCAATGACGATAAAAGCAGTGAAAATTAGGCACATGACAAACTTGGAAAATATGGAGGTTTTGAGAAGGAATTTACGGTAGAAAATGAGATGTCATGAAAAAGCGCAATCATGGTTTGGAGGAAAACGCTCTGAAGGGAATGGAGCCAACCGTACGTAGTGGGAAGGAGCCGAGCAAGATCTACCAAGAGTGCTGTCTCATCAGCACAGCTTCAAAACAGTTTAACCTCGAGAGTTTGTAGCAGCACCTACTTGGTTCTGAAGTGGCATCTTTGTATATCCGGCATGATAACGCGTCCCACGGGTTTCGAATGCGCTTAGAACCGTGACTACGCGGTCCGATACATTCGCGAGAGAGAATAGAAACCAGGCCGCCTCATGTTTCAGTCGCTACGATATTCGAGTACATTACAAATACACTCTGATACACTAATTTGAACAGTTGCATTTGACACGCATTGCCACAAAACGGTGGTGCAATTCACAGTTCACTCTGCTTCTGCTATGCCACGTCAAGGCATTGAACTGATCAACGTATTATCATTTTAACCCCATTTAATCACCATCATCATAGAAAGAAATACACCAATAGAGGGAACTGGTGACGGATTGCCCCAAAACCATGGATGAAGGACCTAGTAATAGAAGGAAAGAAAGAAGCGATGGAGACCTATTGAAAAATACCCTGTCCGTGTTTTCCCCAAACACCAATAGGAACGTAGCTGCACCTACCAAAACCTACATGTTGGAACAAGACGTCGCCATTGAAACAGATTCAACTTTCTTTCGAAGCTATTCTGTACGAGCCCCGCACAAACCACAAATAAGTGTTAGTCAGTCCTGTCAAGGGACAGCAACTCATCACTAGGACTGACTGCCCGCGATATGCTGTAGAGCTGCCAAATACATACAGGGAGAATCATGGGAACCCCAAATAGGGAGGCGCGAAGATTACATAGGAATTAACTTGACAATATCCGCATAGTCACATCTGCTACCAGAGTGAGTCCGATGTGCTATGCACATGTTGCAATCACATAACACCTGCTATACTACGCATAAATTGATAATCAAATATCTGAATACGTTTGAGCACCTCCGACTGAAGGAGGAAAGTCTCTCAGTCACACAGTCGGAATGTTCTAACGTTCACTACATATACCAGCTCTGACCCCGGCGATATTCGTTTCTGAAGACAAAGGTGACGCAGGCTGACTAATATTGCTCGTGTCCCGCCAACATATGGACCTCGTCTGTCACATTGCAGTCACGGCTTGCGTTGCTGCCAAGATAAGCCGTCTTGTCAAAAAAAAACTAGGTTACCATTTTGAAGTTTCAAACTGGTATATAGGAATGGGAAACCCTGAAGCAAGACCTAACATTTCGAGGGCGAAATCTGCATGACTAGACAAGTGATCACTTCCAGTGTTCCGTTGGCGGTAGTTTGTGCAGATGCTGGAATAATGCCACTCATACTGTAAGGCTATCAAATGTTGTTTCGACACCAAAATTCGTCGTCGCCTTTTGACTACACTCGATAATGTCGATGGCCAAAATGAACAACAATGGGAAAGCGAACATTCCCGGCGGATCCCTTAGTTGTGGGGAATTTTTGGAGAGCCCACTGTAAGGCATTACGGAACCAGGGCAATGACACGAAGGATAACCTTCATGTTCCACGTCTTTGGCTAATAATATGGAACAACCAGTCTATCCACGGAGTCGAAAGCTCAGTGAAAACCGCCACAGGCGATTCGGTGGTATGTGTGACGCTACCCGAGCGCCTGACAATGTGAAAACGTAGTCAATACAACCCATACCTGGTCAAATCATGTAAGGTTCCCTCACACTTTCGTCCTACATGATCAATTCAGACGATCTGGTATTATTGGAGCTAGCGGCCACGTTACCGCTGGAGTAACGCTCTTTAATCCTACGATGGAGCAGCCGCAAATTCAATAAAGGCACAAAGACTGAGTGGCACCAAAATGTTGGGACGCATTCTTGTTCTCATATTAGTTTAGACAACCTGGTCCTTCGGCATCACCAGATCTTTCTTTCTGTACGGACATTTTGATGGAGCTGACAGCAGTCTAACAGAAAAGTTTGTTCCATTGTGTTCAACGTTCGCATGGAGGAGCAACGCTGCCTGTTCTGAACTCGTGCTTACATGGTGGGCCTCTAAAAACACATGCCTAGGCCGCCTTTGTGTGTTTATCTTGTCCAAGTTACGACCAACGTTTCCTAGGAAAGTTACTTTAAACGTTTTGGATAGGCTAGTTTGATGAGGTTACTTGACTTATGGATCAGGAAAATTTTCGATGGCTAAGCGAGCGGTTTGTGTCTTCGGTCTCTCCAGGAAACATTGAAAAACACACCGAGCGAGAGCATGTTCTGGCTTAATTGGTCCAGGAAGATGGATACTCAACTACTGATCCTCGCCGCTGGGTGCTAATGGATGTGTGGTAAACCCGGCCCCACGGTTATCCGCCAGAAAGGAAACGCCAGGTAGTACAACGGCGTCTACCGCGGCTGAGAAGCAACTGATTGTGCAAGACAACCTTATGCGTTGAGCCCGAAGTGAAAAAGTTACCAAATGGAGCAAACTTGCACAGTGAAATCGCCAGTGACGCGGACAACAGCTGAGCTCATACTGGGTAGCGGGTTACTTCCTGACGAAAAGTACTTTCACTGAATCAGAGTTAGAGTTAGTTGATGCTCATGCCCAAACAACAAATAAAGAGTGGATAGTAGTTTGGTCCCTGCGGATATCGATAAAAGGACAGTCAAAAGACAATTACTTGCAGAGATCTGGCGGGATACGAAGCTTCAGCAGTCAACGAAAGCTTCCGGCTCAGAAACCTGATCGCAAGGCAGTGGTACTTAGCATAAGACCACTGGAATGATGCAGCTCTTGCGAAATATGTTGGCACACATGTTTCACTCGAAACCTAGAGGGCCAGGAAGCCGTTAATAAGACTTCCGTACTTTGGCCAACCCGGGGCCGAAAACTGTGAATATCACATGGACAACCTCCAGTATGGTTCAATGAGTCAGAGTCCCGTCGTGACGGTTAACGCAATTGAAAAAGCGTAGGATATTAACATGTTCAATGCATGTCTCTGACGTAATATCCTAATAGGTTAGTGATTTGGAACGGGGATTCAAACACTCAAGGTAGTGCACTTGAGTTAAATAGGTTTCAAAGTGAAATGATCAAAGTACATCGACAGAACCACACCTTCGACTGGTGCCGAATTTGAACCACAGCTAATTCACTTTTTGATTTCACATCAGTTTCTGCAAAACATATTCCTGTAAAACCTAGTCAAAACCTTTGAGGGTACGAACAAGATGCTGACTAAGATCACTTTCATTTCCCATTATTAGGAAAAACAAGCGTAGTCGGAAACCAGCAGCCGCATCAAGGTTGGTCTAAATAGCAACGTTCTCATGTGACGTCGAATATCGGGGGACGACACTAATGGATTATCACATGGGTACCCACTGATAACTGCGTAAACGTTCAGCTGTAGCACCCTTTCGGTGCCTAACTGCCATGCTACCCGAAGGAAGTACGATGGCTGGGATACTGACGACTTGCTCAAGCCTAGACAAGAGAAGTCGAGATGTAGAGCTCAGGTTCGAGCCATGGACCTCCCGGTCAGTAAATTCGCGCTCTAAACACTGAGTATCTCGCTCCCCTGGCCAAATGTAGCTGAAAAAATGACAGTACTGAACTACACGATTGCGGATTGGTTGACAGTAGGTCAAAATGCTTGGCCATTGTAAGGGAATCGCACCTATTTGATCAAACCTGGAAATTTTAAAGCTTTCAAAGAGCTGTCTAGCGTCCACCGCGTAATTTACCTGTGAACTCCTATCCGGATCCCGGAGCTTGGAAACCCCATTCCGCGTACTTCCTATAAGTGTCCAAGAGGACGAGAGTCCATATGGAGTCATCGATAGAATACACCAAACAATAATAAGAGTTAATCGTACTTAAACCAAGTAAACTGTTAACAGTGAAATGAATGACCCATTTCAGCACGCGGTTCATGGCACAATTAGACGTTTGCATCCACGCATAACATGAAAATCTTTCAGTACTGCAGTCACCAATTTGCCATTGCAGCGAAGCATCCGTCTGCTGGCTTCGTGACACTGTCTGTTTTTACAGAAGGCGTGACCCTGGTGACAAGCAGTCACTTATACGACGTTGTTGAAAACAGCCGAGAGCTACATGTCGACTAAGGGAATTACAAGAATGCCTGCCCATATTTATTATAAAAACGGTAAGCTTAGGAGGCACCATCAGACTAAGAAAAGATACGTTCCATCTAATGGTGACCGAGCTTTACGTCATTGCCTGTTGTAAATAAGTCCCAGCGATCATGGTACACCATCTTTGAGAATAAGTCCGCTGGGCGATCTCAGCGAACTAAAGGGACTTACACCGCGGAAACGGAAACATCGGTTAGGTCGGTACATGAGTAGCACTAGGAGCAGCCCACCCATTTAAACAAATGGAAGCAAGAATGAAGCGCAAGATGACGTCGAAAAGTAACACCACCTGTGCTATCAGAGTTCAGCAACCATGATCGATTACCGATTGACGTATTTATTACTGACATTGTTAAGCCAAGGTTTATCATCGCGGTATGTATGTATGAGAATAAGGTAGATGAAATGAGATGTGAGCACTGGACAATCGATAGCGGACACCCTTTAAAAGGAATTCTAAAAATTTTCATTCCAAGCCGATTTAGATACGTGACAAGATATGGCCACCCTCGTCAAGTAGATATCACCCAGAGGGCAAGTATGTGGGTGAATGTAGTCGGTTTCCTCTCAATTGTGCGCCTTCGGAAAATCTGTGCAAGCTTGAAGCTGGCATACACGCAGTTGTTTCGTTCGCAATGTACGTTGAGTTACGATTTAAAAACAAGATAGTCAATGTTTCGTATAGGATTGGTTGACAGTTGTAGCTAGCGAACGAAGGCTGAGGTGCTTCAGATGATACTATCACGCCCATTAAATAATCCTCTACAAACAATCATGAGATATCAGTTGGACCGTGATGAGTTTCCGAAAACCGGTCATGTGAAACGTTAGGTCAATTTGGAGGTCATCGTTACCTCGGTGGTACGTTCGCGTTACTACGGTATTTTATAGCCACGTCGGAGAGGCGATATCCCCACAGGCCACAACTAAAATAAACTGGAGATGGTTCAGTGTGTGAAGTAAACCCTGTCAATCAGAATGTCTGTGATCCGAACCCAACTAGGGTTTTTCGATTGCTCCTGACGCCTTTTCAGTTGTCGTGCTACCTTTCGGCCGCGTGGTAACAATACGTCGAAAGAGCACAAGGATTAATGAGTTGATTCGATTACATCATTATGTCATCAAGTTTTTCTAGCAAAATAGTGATTAGCATTGGTTACTTTTTCATCGACATGCCAGTTTTGCAAGGCGGTTCGAAGAAGGTTCATCAGTAGTATCGATAAAGACTCATCTGTGACAACGCTTGGGTGCACAGTTGCTGTTTAACTTGGAGGCACAAAAGCTGGGATGTAGGAGACCACCCAAGCATAGATCAGTGAACGAAAAGCCAGGGTTGAGATCGAGCCTTCCGGTCAGTAGTTTCGAAACCTAAGCATTGACATATTCCCAAGTAACCGATGCATTCCATAATAGTTGCGCTTTGTCAATTAGCGCATAAATGAGTCCATTTCCCATGAAACTTTGCGCTAAACATCGACACGCTTCCATTTTCCGAATAAGTAGAATCAAGCAGTAAATGACATGAAACCTATCTCGACAGCGTGATTTCGAAAGATTTCGCGACGATTACAACTAGGGGATACTGGTATCGTACCCATTTCGACCAATAGTTTTATTCTGGAAAGTCAATTCACAAACAGATATGTTTCTATTCACAAGCTGTCAAACATAGAGTTTAATATTTCTAATGCGATCATGAACTGATGATTCAGTCCTAACAACAGTCCATCCCCCTAGCTTATGTTTTTTAACGCATACGAATCAGACGGAAATATTGGAGAGGCATATCTGACCCACGCTTCCCTCTAAACAAATCCACACAAGCTGACTAACCACCCATTGCTTTCCGTTAGACAGTCAGAAAGGCCAAAGGGTACATATGATGGATTTCCGGTAGCAATTATTTCGCTTTACCCGGTGTACACTGCAAGGATAGGCAACTTTGAAACTAACATTTGTAATGACTGTGCATAAAGTTGGGTTGACAATGAGAATTGGATAAAACAGTTTAAGGAAACCCATCGAAATCATCCTCGGACAATTCTTTCGCACTCTCCAATTCTTGTTGCTCACGTTCGCGCCGCTCCTGAAAAAAAAACGATGCACAATATGGAAGTATAATGAGAACAGCGTCAATGACAAGAAGTCGGAGAATTGCTAAAGCGAATGCTAGTATGTATCGGTATTACAAAACTTCGAATCATAGAGGTGATACGCAAAAATGTCAGGCTGGATTCACTGGTTTTTATTGTTCATTTGTCGTACCTACAACAAGAACGGTGCGATCCTTTAACTGGGAGGGGGCTCAAGAGAAAACTTTTATCAGTCCAGAAGTTCGAAAAGCAAGTAAACCAAAGGCACCGACATAATGGAGTTGATTCGAGACTTCACGGTCGGTAGTAAATCCCTCTTCTTCAATGGGAGCCAATCGTAGTATTGAAATTTATGAACACCTGCCTGCAATTTTAAACTTTCGTAATAATAAACAATCGATCAACCGTTATCTGTCCTGATTAGAATTTCAAGTGCATGTGGACAAAAGGCATGAAAAACTATGCTAGGAGTTTCTAAAAGTAACATTTGCTTTGTCACTGACCTCGATTACTTTAAAACCTTGTTTGGGTCGACCGTTTTACAGTGGGAAGGCGCTCGCAATATTTGTATAGTCACACAAAACACAGCATAACATGTGCTCATAACCTACTTTGTAATGGATACGTTTATGTTACGGCGCTACTGACAAATGTCTGCTACTCAATCCGCCCCACCTACGAATTAGGGACGTCTCTACCTTAGGAGGCTACTTTGGACTGGTCCCAAAAAATTTACTAATATATTAGTCCACAAATGAATAATGCCAAGATACAGCAGGAAATGTCGGGAGTTTCGGTCCTACCACTGTGACATTAGGAATTGCTTTCTCAGTTGTCAGAAAACACGAATAGTTGTGGCATGGCAATTTTCAGGAAGGACAGATGCTTGAAAATAATCGGAATGCCATTACTCAGCTGAGAACCTTAAACTCTGCTAAAATCGCAGTAGGAAAGCCGTCAAGTTTCTGGACCAGAATAGCCAGCTGCCGATTGACGCTCAATCAGTCAATCAATTCAGTATCGGCCAACGATGATGAGTGTTCAGGCATGCCACAGGCACGACCGTCAATAACGAGCATTCAGGCATGTGACAGAAGCAATGACCCATGATGATGAGTATTCGGACATGACATACAAGTAACGCCTGCCAATCACCCAACGCCGATCGTACGGCCTAGAGTCAAGGTCAAAAGTGCGCTTTAAATACCGCGGGGGCCACCGTAATTCACGCATTTGCTTGTCCGCAGTGAGGCTGTTGCGTTCTTTGCTGGTGAGTCATTTTTCAACTGGAGTGGGGTTGCAGTTAGTTACAACGGAATAGCGATTCTAGAACCCGCGGAAGTACGATAACTCCTGAAGCATTGATGGAAATTCTGCCGCGACGAAGTCAGTTTGAATTGGAACAATTGCGATTGATGGAAACTTTGATGCGGCAACTCACGATTCAGTCGCCGAATTGGGCTCCAGATGCAAATCCCGTTGACTCGATCGCCAACAGCATCACGAAGTCCCAATATGAGCCCTATGCTGGTCTAGTATTCGATTCGTGGTTCAAACGTTATGAATATGTTTTTAAAGTCGAGCCTGAAGCACATAGACGGTGCCTGGTGAGTGCAGTTATGGTTAAGAAAAATTGGCACAATAAAACTAACGCCTTATTCCGACTTCATTCTAGGAAAGAACACATGAAATCCCAGCTTTGACGAAACCGTTCAACAACTCTCAAAAACCTTCGGTAAGTGTTTTTACTTTTGTAATATTCGTTATTAACGTATGAAACTAGTAGAAAACTAAACTGAAGACTACATCACTTATGCCGATAGAGTTAATCTTGAATGTGAACACGAGGGAAGTATTTAATTTTCATATGCGACCTTAAGTCAGTCGGTGATCGGAAGGTCTGTGGTTCGAACCCGACCTCTGCCTAGGCTTGGTCACCCTAACAGTATCCTAGCCCTCGTGATTCCTTCGGGAGGCATGGCAGCTAGACACCGAAAGGGTGTTACAGCTGCCACATTTAGGAAGTGATGTCAGAACCAGGCTGTTGAACAGAATTGAACGATCTTCCGAAATAACATTGGAGACCATTAGTCACGAGCAGCAGCGTCTCTTCAATCCCAAACGGGACAAGGCACCATTAACCCAATATATGCCGCAACTCGCAATCCACAGTCTCCTGACGGTCGATCTCCAGCAGAGTTTATGTTGGACAGGCGGTTGATAAAGAATCACTAAGTTGTCACATCCTTTCGGTGCCTGGTTGCCATCCCACCCGAGAGAAACACGAGAGCAGAGATATTGCCAGGTTGCCCAAACCTACATAGAAGTCGATATGCATAAGTCGGGATCGAATCACGCACCTTCCGGTCAGCAGATTCGCGCTCTAACCACTGGGTCACCTCACACAAGGCAGTTGAGGCTTATCCACGATTTCATCCTGCTAACATTCACGCGTATTCAATCACCAACAGGAGGGAAACGAACGTTCCACTCTGGAAACTGTCTGTTTGTGAGAAAATATAGCCCTGGGCAACGAAATTAGACTCTCGGACTCGTCCTCAAAAGAATCCGCCATGTGATTTATGGTGTAGGTCGCAACTAGACTGAACCTTACCGTAGCGTAATGGTATGTGTGCCTCCGTGGCCAAATGAGCTATACTGGGTGGTGTCCACGCAACACTCACAAGTTGGTCAATGATTAGATGTCTGGCTAACGCTGTCTCCTAACTCTCCAGGTTGGGGGTTATAACATGTGTGGCGACTTGTTCTATAAAAATGGTATTGCACTTTCATTCCAAGGTAAACACTCTCTTGAACCGAAGGCTTTGATTGAGAACTTCAGCCGACCTCTTGTTTACGTCTCGGTACCCTGAAAGTATCCCAGCCCGGGTACAATCATGACAATTACAACTAAAAACAACCCCATACCACATCAGCCGTCGCGCGGTGTCACCAGTCGGGTCGCCTCACTTGCTGCATACAGCGGAGCTGGTGAGCAAAAACATCCTACTACTGGCACCTCCCTTCCATTTTCACTGTTTCCCTCTCCTACCCTATCTAACCCAAATCTGATTACTTTCCCCCTCTCTCTGCAGGTTAAAGCATTAGGACTGACGACTTTGCTCGCCGTATATCAAGCTTAGCTGTAGCTTCTGTAAGTTCGACTTCAGTAACAGCCCTAAACACTCCGAAGCTTGTTTTCAATTCCCGCAAGCTGCTCTAATTAGCTGTTTTTAATATTCGCACACTGAGGCAAGCAGGATAACAGGTGTCTCTTGCTTGCACTTTGGATCACCTACACTGATATGCGCTGCCTGACAGAAACAATGATACAAGACGCAAGTGGTATGACTGAACTGACTGCTCCCTCGTGCCCTTCCAGGTTCAGTGTGTGCAAATTTGGTGATGCAGGGGCTGGATATGCTGGATATGCCAGCGTGGGCAATGCATTGAGCGAACGAGCGGAAGCGTTCCTACTTGGCTGGATGCCCGTTAACAGTCTACGTTAACGTCTCTGCGCGGTTCGTTTGGCAACGTCTGTGAAAGAATGTCAAGAAAGTGAGGTCATCGCACCCTGGTCAGTGTATCTGCTTACGTCCCAAATGACTAGCTCAGAATCTGCCAAAAAGTGTCTAGGTGCTATTTTACGACGGGCTAAAGGCTCAGGTATCTTTGCGGTTTGTGGTGACATGAACAACCAGTTAGGTAAGCTAAGCGCCTCTGATACCCAACTGGGTGGTCTTCTCGGGTTGGATACGAGACGCACAGAAAACGGAAATCGTCTAGTTTAGATGTGTGCCGATCACACACTGTTTCTTTGCAGAACCAATTTCCGGTACAATATAAATCGCTCGAAGACATGGTGGGAACCTAAAAGTCAGTCTGAAGTCCAAATGGACCACATCGGGCGTCAGTTACCGGCATAACGGCGTTGACTACCGATGAATCATGTAAGTAGTCCACCGGCCGGTGTTCAGGCTCCGCCCCCGTAACTGACAGAAGGTTAAGGTTACTATTGAATACATGAAACGGCTTTGTAATGTTCGTTCATGATTGCTTAATATCCAAAGAACATCCAAGAAAGTCAAGAGGACGTTTTGTAATGTTCACTTTTGAAAAACTATGTGCATATGAGATGCTTACTTTCGTGCATGCTACGTTGTAACCGCTTGGTTCGTATTTGCTAGTAACTTCGCAGCGAAGGGCTTTCCTCCTTTCACCGGTGGCGAGAGTCGATCAGCACCTGGTGCTTCTTTTGGAACACCATCATTAACCTTGGCCATGCAATTGTGCGCTGCTGTTTTTCAGGTTTACGCAAAACGGACACACCTCACTTAACCGCTGAGAAGCTAGTGGATGTAGAAATCAAACGAAAATTTCGGAACCGCTTTATCAAAATCCTGGAGGAAGGTCGGATGTCGGATATTAACGGCCGGCGCCACTCAGAGCTGGAAATTTCGTTTGCTGCAAAACCCAATCAATCTAATTCGAACGTCGAATCTATGATAGGACCTTGGATTTGCTGAATGCCCGGCGATAGAGTCATCTGGCTGCAACCCACTCAGAGCTGGAAATTTCGTTTGCTGCAAAACCCAATCAATCTAATTCGAACGTCGAATCTATGATAGGACCTTGGATTTGCTGAATGCCCGGCGATAGAGTCATCCTGGCTGCAACTCCAACTCCAACCGACGCATCATCCGACGCCATGTAAAACTGAGTGTCCGTGAAGATGGCGAAGTCCGAAGAAATAGAGACAAAAATGCTGGAAACATCCGCTGGCTGTTCCATCTGATTCGTTCGACTCGTCCTCGGAAGCCACTTGTCACGGAAACTACCAGGGACCAGGATGGCTGCTTCATCTCCAACAAACGAGAACGTTTGGACCGCTGGGCACAATAATTCGAACAACAATTCGGTTGACCACCTGAAACCTACGATCCGAACTGCGAACTGTGGACTAAGAATATGGGGACGCCTCCAAACTCAGAAGTGTCACAGTGTATTTTTCTACGCAAGCATCATCGTGCTGCTGGTCCTGACGAGGATGGCGGTGAATTCTTCAATCAGTGCCTGTCTAGACTTCTGTCTGGGAGAGAGAGACCGTTTCAGACAAATGGGGTGAGTCGATAATGGTGCCCATTTTTTAAACGGGCACTCGCAGTGAATGTGGCAACCACGCGGGTAATTTTTTGCGTTCCGTTATCACAAAGCTTCTGAAGTCACTGGTTCTTTGTCGTCTTCCGTAGCATGCGCGAATCTTTGACCCGTGAGCATCAAGCGAGATTTCGACCGAGGAAATGCTGCGTCGACCACATCTTCACACTCCGTCAGGTGTTGAAGAAACACCATACGTACAAATGACCAATCTTGCAGTTATCTGACCTCAAGGGTGCGTTCGATTTTGTTGGCCGATCACTGTTCAACAGGGTATGCCGCAGAAGGTTGTGAACACGATTCGATCTCCATATTCACATACCTATGGGGGTATGTGTATGGTGAGCATTCCAAAACCCTCCCTAGAAAAAGCGCTGTCCGACAAGGATGTCCATTCTTTCCATTCTTGTTCAACTTCGTGAACGATGAAATGAGGCGGACGCTGCAGTCCTCAAAATCCTGATGTTCAAATCGTCTCTGGTGAGAACCACGTCGATCTGAAGTACGTAGATGAAATCACCCTCATGTTCGAAGACGAGAGCGCAGTACAAGCTGTGTTGAATAAACTGATCACTATCATATCATCTTTCGGCATGGGTCTACCGCCTTCAAAGTGTAAATTTATGCTTCATAATATGCAGTCTCTGAACATGTCCCTTACAATTCAAGGAAAATCACTGGAGGTTGTGAAGAATTTTACACAACCCGGTAGTTTTGTTTGATCTGTCGGCTATGTGACTGGGAGGTTACTGCACGAATCTAAAGGGCCAGGACCATGTTTGCTAATTTGCGTCACTTGTGGCGTCAAAAAGAAGTCTCAAGGGTCGCGCGTATCGTGCTACGAAAAAAGCTGTATGGTTGTGTGGTTACGGATCCGAACCCATGAACTGAGGTGGATCGGCCATGCTACACACGCCGAAACACTATCTACCAAGTGGGGTGTTGTTCTCTGTACCTCCTTCAGGATGGTGAAAACCACGAGGTAGACAACGTATGACTTCGCAGGAGGGTGTTGTTGGTGCAGTACATCTTCCAGGATGGGTTCCCCGTGAGCCCTCCTGCGCTTAGCTGGAGACATTGCAAGAAATGACCGCTGGTCGATTTCAGTGACGTTCGTGTTGTCGCCTTCTTTCCAGATTGTCTGACTGAGCGGTTGGAGGTGCAAGCACCTTGGAAGGCCTGACATAGGCCAGCACCAGGTCCCCTCTCTCATGCTCTTTTTCTTTTTATTCATAGACTTTAAATATAAATAGATAAACGTTGTGGTTGTACAGCAGAGAACCATCAGTGTTAACAATGACGCTGCTGTCTCTGATGCTAGTGTCTGGGTAAGATCACCGATATGAAAACGGCATGTCAGTAAGCTACAGCTGACTAGGTGACCGATCTCAAAAGTGAAAAAACCGCCATTAGACTTCAAACTGTTGCCATAAATCTACTGAGAACGTCAAACTCTACCAAAATCACAATAGGGAAGCCGTCAGGCATCTGGACCAAACAAGCTAGCTGCCGATTGAACGCTCAGTCAGTCAATCAGTGCAGTAACGTCTGACGATGATGAGTGTTCAGGCATGTTACAGAAGCAACGGTCCACAATGATGAGTTTTCGGGCATAACATAGAAGTAACGCCCACCAATTAACCAACGCCAATCGCATGGCCTAGAGTCAAGGTCAAAAGTGCGCCTTGAAAACCGAGATGCCCCCTGTAATTCATGCATTCACTTGTTCGCAATAAAGCTGTTGTGTTCCTTGTTGGTGAGTCATTTTTCAACACTAAGGTACTGGAGCAGGGATTGCATTTAGTTATAACAGCAACTGAATTTTTCTACTATGGTGGGCGTAAATGATTACTCTAATTACGCAGTTGTATTTTCGAACACCAAGTTGACCTCCATTGGTTATCTCCGGTGTGTAGACCTTGCACCTTCCAATAAGCTTGACAGTTGGACCGACCATATAAGTGCCCCATGGCATACCAGTGTTGCAGCTTCTTACGAAATGTAACTTACAGGGTGGGATCAAGTGAGGTTGGTCGTTCCACTCTAGTGAATGCTTAGCACACTTTAAGGAACAGAGGAAATGATGCGTTCAAGAAACGTTTAGCTGTGACGCTCTTAGTTCAACTGTAATAGCTCAGGTCCTCCGACGATTGCGCCGGAAATGAATTATTGCTGACATGCAAAGATAAGACACATTTGACTCAAACGGAAAGAAGTTAGGGAAACTGGCTGACTCGTAAAGCCGTTTGATATAGCTAAGTAAATGGTAGCCCAAAAATGATTAAAAATGATAAAGGTGCACTCACAGACCACGGAATTGCAGAACATCCATGAGCTGCGTAAACTAGCTTTAAGATGGGATGGATCCTCTTCCGTGCGGAACAATGACGGGCAAGCACACGTAATCGTGGTTTTAAAACGTTTTGACAAATTCAATTTTTGAACAGAATACACTATTCAAAAGGCAGTTGAGATCAATTTTCTCCTTAGCCATTAAAACCTAACCAGAGTGAGCATTTGAAACGTAAAACGGTCTAATTCTTGAGTGTGATGTCAATTCAGTGAAGCTAAGCGGGCTGATTCAGTGAATCATCATATCACTTTCCACCTTCAGAAATAATCGGATGACTAGACGTACAGAAACGGGTTTGGCATACATCTTAGTCGAGCCAGTAAACTTAGGGTGGACTTATCATATCATCATCATCATCATCATCGACATAGGGTGAACTATTCTCACCCCAAATTCCAGATAAAGCCACGGGATTATGCTGCAGCATGAGACGGCTACTTTCAAACGGGTCATCAAGTAGTCCCCATCTATATAAGAAAATAATGCCCAGAGTTACCACGGTAACGACAAATCAGACTAGCTCAACACAGCTTTTGCATCCCGAATACACAATCTAATAGGCGCGAAAACACATCTTCCTACCATCAGGTTAGACGCGACCACAGAGGATATGGCGAGTAACGAACATGACAACTTTGGTACGTGATCGAAAAATCAAACAACTCAAACGGAGGTGAAACAGCGAATGACAAAACTACGGCGCCCCGATCGATAGAGTCGCATGCGCTTGCTACACTGAGGTTTTGAGAAAAACGGACTTTCTGATCCATCGTAACGCGCCCCGTTAATTGCTCATTGTGGGGTTATTATATTTCAACTGAACTCTAGTGAAATGTGAAATGATCAGTGGTTGGATTGTCGCAAGAAGGGCGCCACAGGACAACTTTGTTTTTCATTGCTGTTGGTCACGAAATTCTCCGGTACCCGTCGTTAGGACGTGGATATTTTCTGGTACGCTACCTCGTATCATTCAACCAGACACGCTTTAATAACCTGAATCTATACATAGTCGCCGGATTCAGAAAAATGGAGTAACCGGGAAGACCACATAACACCACTGTTTACCAAAACCTAGGCAGCCAAAGCTGAGGCGACACCTTACCAAAGTAGTTGGCACAGAAAGCAGCAACACACTATGTAACTGGTAGCCAGTTCAAAGTCATGCTTAAATGGCAGTAAATCATCACATTTGGGCTACACCGAAACATCGTACACGCTTGTTGTAATCAACATTTTCACAACATCAGTAAGCAAAGGAATGTCCCACCCAACAAGCGGTTTTATTGAAATACGCCAGTCCCTTCTTATGAGAAAAACAGGTGGGTCGCAGCCGATACGTCCTCTGTGGCGAAATTTATTGTGCTCGGAAAGCCGTGAATCTGACATTTTCAACCAACTTCCCAACTACTTGTATTATACGAAGTAAAATTTCAGAGTCAGGTATACACGTCGCACAGACTGGTGGAATGCATACCATGCACGGTAATCTGAAGGCGAGCCCTTATATGGCTCATTTGTGCGTATAGAAAAATTATTACCGAAAGATATTTGTTTTTTACCCTAAAACTAGAAAGAAATCACGAAAAACTAATCTGCTCACATGCCCGAATAGGAATAGTTTGTCGTTTGAAATGTCAAGTTTCCATTCGGGTATTAAAATCCACCTATTTCAGCATTTGTAAAACCTCTGGATGCCATGGACGTATCCGATGGTCCGCCAAGTTTTTTGCAAACGCAGGGACATCTCGCCGAAAGAAATACAGAAGAAAACAGTTCAGCTGTAGCACCCTTTCGGTGCCTAACTGCCGTGCCATCTGAAGGAAGCACTGTCAGTATATAGCCAAGTTGCCCGATCCCAGAAAAGAGAAGTCGAGATGCAGAGGTCGGGTTTGAACCACGGAACTTCCGGTCAGTAAATTCGCGCTCTAATCACTGAACCACCTCGCCACTTCGACGAGGAAAATACAGTATAATAGCTGCAGTCGTGTTGCTAGCTGTGTGATCACATAGCTAACAGACTGGGGTCAACAGTTAAACCTATAGAACAAATCACATCCCAGCCAACCGGCAACAAATCGGGTGAAATAACACAGCCTCCATAATAACAGGCTGTACACGAAAAATATATAGTGTAGCAAACTTACTTTTGTTCTATATTGCTTTCATAGGGGAGGGGTTAATGTGGACAAAACCCAGGCTTCCAGAGACAGAAACATACGTCCTATATTTCGTTCCCTTAGTACTTCTCTCCCGCCCATCTTAAGGTGACAAACATAACTATGCTGCTGGCTCATAGTTAACCGTCCAAAGTAAAATGATATGCTCTATTGCCCAGTTCCTTAGCCATGTAACTTTACAATCCTCCCCATTTTCGGGACAGAGAATTCCTTCCTTGCAGCGGCAACGTCCCCGTGAGTGCTCTTTAAATTACTTACGACCGAGCAGAAGAAGCAGATTCGGTACCCAACGCGTAACAAAACCAAGCAAAAAAACCTGGACATGACTCATCTATCACAGTGTATGTACTAGATTAAAACTGTCAGCTATGCTGACGTGTACTTTAATCGGGTTTCAGGTCATAGATTTGTAGCAGGATACATGTTTAGTGCACGCATGTTCCAACCTCTGCATGCGGTTGTAAATACAGCCTTCATTCGGGACCGAAATCATTCGTTCGCAGCGCACGTTTCACTGGTGGGTCCCTTACGCATAGGTCATGCATGCACGCTCATGCAAGCACGTGATAAAACGACCGCAGTTCGAACTGGACGAATGAGTCGGAGGGTACGACAAGTGGGGGTCGTTTTTGTGGGAAAACAGGCCCTTTGTTCAAAAGTTAAGCCATGGGGCACACGTCGTCGTAAAAGTAATGATCTTTCTCGAATTTTGAAAATCCAGTGGAAAACATGCTACAGTTCATAAGTGGTTTCAGGGTTTTCAGAATTGGCATTCACATAACTCTCGTGTGGACAGTCCTCCTGTCAAGTGATTTTGAGACACCGCTCGTGTAACGGTCATATTAACCAACGTCCAAAGTCCGGATAACTCCATTACGACCACTACCATACTTCACTAGTTTGTTTCCGATGAAGTTTATTCAGTCTAATATGCACGTGTAAGTGAACTGCACAGAGGGGCAGGTATACGAACAGCGAATTAGCCATATGGGTCTCGAGGCTGTGTTAGGTGCAAATGACAAACTTTCACTAACTTGATCTATAGGAAAACGTCGGGCTACTCATCATTTAATTTATACTGCTCTTGTCTTCAACTTTCCATGCTTTCCCATGGATTTCACTTTAACAGTGGGTGTATTGAGAACGAGAGTATACGCAGCCATCATAGTTACACATAACCACTTGTTCGTCAGTATGGAATGTGGTTAACTGGTCGGCTAAAACATCACTTCGTACTTTCTATGTGAAAACGCAAAGGCATATCTATTGGAACAAACATAAGACTAATATAGTAAAACTACAGAACCTACTGTAATAAGCTTCAACCAGTCCTCCCATCCACCCACACGAGTCTAAAGATCCCAAAAGGCTCAAAATGATTGCGCTAAGGGAAGATTACTGATTGATTTCTTTGGTTACCTACCTGCCACTACGTATTCACCATGAATCGCACACGTACGTATTTATCATTTAATGATAGTTTGTTTACCACCAATTCATACAACAGCTCGAGCCAGTTAAGTCTAACGGGAAATGACAAAGTCACCGAGGCATATAGCCAATGGTTGCTATCTGACTAATGTATGCACAAAATGTTTTGAAAGAAAAGATAAAACAAACATCGGTGAAATACAGCGGTTC